CACACACACACACACACACACACACACACACACACACACACACACACACACTCACACACACAAACAAACAAACACACACACACAAGCATATCTCAGAGCCAGAAACTGTTTCTTTCATGAGCATAATAGTATTAAATCATAACTATTGCAGAGAGAAGAAAACTATATCGACCGACCAAAGATTTATGTCAGTCGCCTTACATGGTATGATAAATAAGGTGCACTGCAAAATCTGCCAGTTCTCTTTTACAGTCCGCGTCCTCTTTCTCTTCACTTTGACAATCCAGCAAGCGTGCCTTTGTCGTGTCCAGAAGACGATGAACAACAGGCTTGTGAAGCTAAAAAATAATTGATGGGAAAAGAACATACCACAAAACGTTGAACATTGACCTTTTATCCTCTTGATATTTATCTTCTTTATTAAGATTGATTATTTATGACAACAACAAAAAAAAATCATAAAACATAGCAGATTGCATTTTAAGTGTTTGATTTTATCATCCCTCACAATGATTGATTGGCTTCGATTTTTTTTTGCGCCTTATGATATAATTTAGGTCTTTGCAGAGGCAGACCTTTTTAGCTCTTCCTGTCAAGGCCAACCGCGTTATTGTGGGATACAACACACCAGCAGACACACGGAGATGATCGAGAGAATAGTTTCCACACGCGGGAATCGAAGAGCCAAGCCATTACATCAGAGATGTTGGTTTATTCCTTACACTGAACATGCGCAAGAACTGATGTTAGACTGTTCGACTGTCAGAATAAAGTCGTGAAGAAAAAGGCAGTGCCTGTCAACCTTTTCATAGCCAGCGCCTACTTTTGCCACCTTTAAATGTTCACCATCATAATATTAATAATTATATTTCCAATCGACGCATTATATTAAATAAAGCCTGTCACTACACAGCTGCTCAGTGGCAACGAGGTTCTTTCATATCTATTATAATTTAAATTATTATGTATACCTGCATTTGTTTTTACAGTCCTGTACAGCCAAGAAAAATGTCCCTCTGGGACAACAAAGTATTATCTTTTCTTATCTTATCTTATGTCGTATTATCTTATCTTATCTTATCCCTACAGCCCACCGCGTACCGAAATGACCAAATCGCCCGCAAGTGGACGATATCGCACAGGTTGACAATCGCTGGTACAGGGCATATTTTTGGTACGACTGGATAGGGTTACGATTGAGCCTACATACTTTGCATTATAATGAAGCAGGCACCGAGATTACAAAACATAAAACAGGGAAAACTAAGTGCTCATAAGCGAGGTGATGCAGATTCTAGCTTCGAGTGCATGCAAGGGGATGGGGACGCGAGGAGGGGGGGCGGTCTATGTAGGTATATACAGGCTTGATGTATACAAAAAGGGTAGAAGGAAAAGGTGGAGAGAGGGGCAAAGGAGTTACAAAGCAAAGGACATACCACGTGTAGGCATAAGAGCATTAATATCAACGTAAATATGACGCGCCATAGAAATATCGGTTATAATTTGCAAAATTAGCAGAAAAGGCTTTTCTCATATTCATATAGCACATTATCTCATGAGTAAATGGGTGTTTACTGCGTGGAAGTGAAACTTTGGCATTTTCTGCCAGAATGCAGTCAACATACTACTACAACGTAATTGTTATCAAAGATAGTAAATAACAAGATGGGCCCCTCAGCCAAAAAAGTGTCCGCAGGAAGTATGCTCTTTGCTTCAGATGGCGCTGCAGTCTGTTTTGAAGCTCTCTTTCGTTTTTCCAGAAGAAGAATAGGAATAGCACCTCCTTGTGTGCGCAGATCGACTGCTGTTCATTAGCAGTTCGGGTTTGTTCAGTACGGAGTTTTAGTTTTTTGTTTGTTTTTTAATGACCTCTCGCCTTTCATTCTAAAGTCAAATTAAACAAAGAAAACAATCACCCTTTCCTCCGGAAGAGGTTTTTTGTCAGCGTAACCATTTTAAAAAAGCGTTCTTCCGAAATTCATTCAAAAAACTTGCTAGTTTCACTTTGATTTTTTAAACTCAAGTAGGATAACTCTGTTCGCTAAAGGTGCGCTTTTGCGAAGAGGGCGCCACCGAATTTTGAGGACACTTTTTTAATTGGCTCAAAGAGAGAAGTGGCCCCTCTTGTTATATAGACTCTTTGTTTTTATTAACCAAAAGTACTTCACGAAGGACGAGACACTGCATTGTGTTGCAAACTAACAATATAAATTAAAGGGGAGCAACTGAGTTGTACATCCGTGTCCTTTCGTGATGCAACTACGTGGAAGAGGAACCCCTCTGGAGGAGTTTTACAAATTATAGTATTGCAATATCCATAATATATCCTTTTGAGGTACCTTACACGTACAGCTGTTGGGAGTGCTGTGTGTTCTAAACACAGCATTAAAAAAGAACTTCTTATACCCATGAATCTCCTGATTCTTTCTACAGCCTTTCTACTGCTACTCCTTGGTTTCTTCTTACTGCTGTCTTTCAGCCACACCCCTGATCTTCTGGTTGGAAAGATCTACGCCTAGCCTTCTCGGACAAGGGCGAAAATCTCGGAGGGCCGTGTGCAAGTTGCGCAGGTTAAAGATCCCTTGGTGGTCTAAAATCGATAAGGGTAGGCTTCGGCCTTTTACATGTACATCTATCCGCAGCTTTTGGTACAATTGACCATCTTCATCTATAAGTCGCTGTTGTATTGTAAAGCGCTAAGAAGAGCCTGCATACATTAATCGCTAATATAAATTTCCTTATAGTAGTAGTAGTAGTAGTAGTAGTAGTAGTAGTAGTAGTAGTAGTAGTAGTAGTAGTAGTAGTAAAGTTGTTCCCGCATCCGATCAGGACATTGGGGATTGCCTTGTTAGTGAGACAACTTCCTGGGCTTTCGGCATATTGTGGTAGGGTGGCGAGTTCCTTTCCGCGCCGCCTTTACTTCCCCGGCTCAAAGTCAGGCACCCATTACTGCTGGGTGGGCAGGAGGGGGCGAAAAAAATATGTGTCCGAACCGAGGCTCGAACCCGGACTTTCCTCTTCAGAGACAAGTGCACTAATCGCTCCGCCACCGCACCCTTAGTAGTAGTAGTAGTATTTTCATAATCATCATCAGTATGATCATCATTGTGGAAGGCCTTACTCGAAATTTTACACACTGCCGGTCCACAATCTTGTAGCAGGCGTACACTGTGTCCGAGGTACAGGAAGCCAGAAGAGGTTGTAACATATCCAGCCACAGGGGGAGTAACTCAGCGTTGCTGCAATAATATTATAGGATAAGGGTTTTTGCATGTTAAGCCTTCTTCTTGAAGTTGCTTTTGTTGTAGTTGTTGTTACTGGTTCGTCTGTTTGTTTGTTTGCTAGCTTGTTTATGTTTATTTGTTTGTTAGTTCGTTAGTTTGTTTGTACGTTGCTTGTTGGTTTGTTTTTTGTTGTTTGGTTGTTTGTTTTCTTTTTTTTGCTTCTTTCTTTCTTGTTTGTCATTTGTCTGTTTCTTCATTTGTTTGTTTGTTTGTTTTGTTTGTTTAGACTGGGTGTTCCAAATACATGCAGTACGTCATTTCGACGAACAAGATTAGAATGAAATTTTATTTCCCTGAATCTTTCCAACATCTTTCTCTACACGTAAATGACCGAATACACGTCAGACAAAACACTTGGGTTATTGATAAAAGTTCCTCCCTTATTCTTCGGAATAAAATATAATGTACCAGATTTACCATATAACACAAAAAAATACTACTTACTTTGCAAAAGATACTTCCAACAGGTGATCCATTACCATCCTTGCCATATTTGTTTTTCTCAGAAATTTGGTATCAATCTGCTCAATCGTCAACAAAAACTTACTAGACGTGGTTTTGAAAACGTCCACATCGTTCTGTTTGGGGGAGGGAGTAGGGGAGGAGAACAACAGACAAATCTACGTGTTTTATTACAATCAACAGAAGACAAATTAGGAGTTCACATACTATTCAAATTATACGCAAAGAGAGAGAGAGAGAGAGAGAGAGAGAGAGAGAGAGAGAGAGAGAGAGAAGGATACAGACAGACATACAGACAGGCAGACAGACAAGGAGAGAGAGAGAGAGAGAGAGACAGAGAGAGAGAGAGAGAGACAGAGACAGACAGAGACAGAGAGACAGAGATAGAGAGAAAGAGTGGGGGAGGGGTATATATAATTTCAGCTACCGGCCTAGCTATCAATATAACTGTTGTAATATATGTATTCATTATCTTTAAATTCAAATATATGTATATACAGATTAATTATATCCTTCTGCAACACACACACACACACACACACACACACACACACACACACACACACACACACTCACTCACACAACCACAAATAGACAGATCTCGAATCATACTGGCAGGCATACTCAGAAAATGGTACAACATTGCATTTCGAAAGCCTCTCTTTAATTTGCACGAGCACCATAAGGCTACCACATTCAGAATCAATTCCCTTCACCGGATCTGCCTATTATTTATATATTTTAATATTGCCAGATCTGCCTAACATTTATATATTTTAATATTGCCAGTTTCTGCCAAAGGAGGTAACCCTGCTTTACCGCAATAGTTCTCTGTGGGATGCGGTCGAAGTAGTACAGTCCCTTCTCAAACAATTGGAGAGCAAGATTCTCGTCTTTGAACTTGAGCTTGCTTAGATCCACGAGCAGTTCGAACACATGTGCATGAGACTGGAGAACCTGGCCACTGGAACTGGACAAAGAGGTTAGCCCATATCAATACTTTTCGGCCTTTTAAAGACAGCGCAAGGTCTGCGCTCACTTTCGCTACTTTTCAGAGGCTAAAGTTTTCGTACCGCCCACCTACATGTACAGCCAAGCTGGGCATTAAATAATACCGGTCACAACCCTAATGATTTCCACAGCCCATTAAAATTACCAAATCACCAACTGGTGGGTGAAATCGCCCAGATTGGCAAGATAATGGTAGATAGCATTTGTATAGTGCAAATCACCCCCCCCCCCCCTTTCAACAGCAAGCTCTATGCGCTTAACAACCTATAGCCTACTATTCCTCCAGCAAACCTGAGAGCATTCTGAAACAACCTCAACTTCCTGGGGAGCATACAGTGCAAGCGGCCATGTACTGGCACTAAATCACTAACATACTGACAAGATCTTTCGTTGTTTATATCTTTGTGTTTGAGTTGATCGACAACTGGAGAGGAATAGGTGTAACATCAGACTATGAAAAGGTAACATTTCTACATTAAATATTAGTGTAGTTAGATCATAAAGGCCTCACACATCTACAGAGTAAACTGTTCAATGGGATTCTATCAAACGTGTTGCAGTGAAGGAAAGTATTGCGCGTCAGAGCACGTCTTAATTCATACCACTTTCAAAGTTGCCTTTAATAATTGTTTTTGAGAATAAGGTAAACCATATTCCAGACATTCAAGGTTGTTTTTTAGAAAATGTAAATTGATATTTTCTCAACGTGATACCGACCGGATTTATCGCATTATATATTACGTAGATGGGGGGGGGGGATGAACTCATATAAGTATCGTCTCTGAAAATGTAGTTGCACCTTAGAGCGCCGGCTCGGGTATGTTTTGGGTTGGGGGTGGGAGGGTTGATTTATTTCTTTTTAAGATTACGTAGAAGACCACAACAACTGATCAAAAAACAATCTTTTGAAAAGAATTTATATTAAAGTGTAGGATACATTTGAGCAGTCTTGGCATGGCACCTTCCTAAACACAACTGAGCTTGCTCCTTGAACTCCTTATAATAGTAATAACAGAAAATCGGCGCTTACCCAAGTTGCTTGGTCAGCTGTTCTAAAAGGTCTTCCAATGTCT